CTGGAGTTGTGTACCTAGGAGGATTATGGCTGCCGCTGCTGAGTCATGCAGGTTGTCAGGGAAGTGGGGGAAAGCCGGCAGTCTCAGGTCTCACCCAGCTTCCACACACACTCAAAGGCTTCTCTCACTCCTACTGTGCCCCCTGCAATTGCCCAGAGTCCGTTTCCTGGCCGAGGGCGAATCTTGGCTTGATAACTTACCTGGGGCTTTCTGCCTCCCAACTGTCAAAGAAATGGGCTTTAGTTCTTACCCCGCCTGTGAAGTCTGCAAGCCAGATTCACGCTCTCCCCTGAGCTCTGGCCAGGAGGCTTCTCACCCTGTTCAATTTTTTACAAAGTTCAGCTAGAGAAGTCCTTCTCCCTGTGAAGTTTTATCCCCTGCTCCTCTGGCCACTCTCCTGATGGATGACGGTGGTGCCAGGCGGGAACGGACTACCTGGGGATCCAGCAACCTCCCAGTGCCTTTCTGCTACTTCCTCTACTCCTGTATGTCACTCAGCTCTGCTCTCTAACTTGACTCAGCTCCAGGTAAGGTCAGGAACTTCTCCCACAAACAGACCTTCAGCTTCTCCAGTGGGGGTGTGTGTTCAGGAGCTGAGGGTCTCCCTTTCCCATTTCCGCGGTTGGGGGACTTACAGTATTTGGGGTGTCTCCCAGGTCCTGCAAGAGCAATCTGCTTCCTTCGGAGGGTCTGTGGGTCCTGCCAGGATGGTGGTCTGTTCTTGCAGTCCGTCTGGGGCTAAAATTCACAATGCAAGCCTCCGCGTGCTGCTCTGTCCGGAGCTGCAATCTAGTTCTGCCTCCTGTCTGTCATAATCCCTTATGACCCTTGAGCTTTTTTTTTCATACGATTGTTGACAGCATGTATGTCTTCTTTTGAGAAGTGTCTGTTCATGTCCTTTGTCTACTTTTTAAAGGTTTTTTTTTGTAAATTTAAGTTCCTTGTAGATGCTGTATATTGGATCTTTGTCAATTGCACAGTTTGCAAACATTTTCTCCCCTTCTGCAGGTTGTCTTTTTACTCTGTTAATAGTTTCTTTGTTGCACAGACGTTCTTTAGTTTAATTACATCCCATTTGTCAATTTTTGCTTTTGTCACAATTGCTTTTGGTGTCATTCCTATAAAATCTTTGCCCTTGCTTATGTCCTGAATGGTATTGCCTAGGCTGTCTTCCAGGGTTTTTCTAGTTTTAAGTTTCACATTTAAGTCTTTAATCCATTTTGAGTTAATGTTTGTATATGAAGACCGATCTTTATGTTTAGAAATTCTTTCATCTTCTTCATCTAGTCTGTTGTTGAGGTTCTCAAATTGTATTATTTATTTTATTTATTGAATTCTTCAATTTCAGCTGTTAAATTCCTTTTCATTCGTTTTATGGAATCTGTTGCTGGAGAATTATTGTTTTTCCTTCAGAGATGCTATGCTTCCTTGCTCTTTAATGTTTCTTATGTCCTTACATTGATATTTGAATATGTGGTAAAACAGTTGCTTCTTCTAATTTTATAGATTGGCTTTGGTAGTGAAAGACTGACTACTGTAGCTGTATCTATACTGTTGAATCAGTAAGACACTTTGCCTTTAGTTCTGGGTTGGTTCAGTAGTTTAGATTCCTATGATTTCTTCAGCTCTGATCAGCATCACCGATGTCTGTGAGCTCCTCAGTGGCTTAGCCTTTGTTGCTAATGGAGGCTGTGGTGAGATTTTGCTGGGGAAAGACATGCCAGGCAGTCTGGTCTTTGGGCACCAGTTGCATTGGTCTTTGAACTTGTGGGTGATGTATGTGGGCACTAGTGGTTGAAGTTTCAGGCAGGCCATCCTTGGGCCTTCAGGTGACTTTCTTTTTTTTTTTTTTTTGAGACGGAGTTTTGCTCTTGTTGCCCAGGCTGGAGTGCAATGGCTTGATGTTGGCTCACAGCAACCTCCGCCTCCCGGGTTCAAGCAATTTTCCTGCCTCAGCCTCGAGAGTAGCTGGGATTATAGGCATGCGCCTCCACGCCTGGCTAATTTTGTATTTTGTATTTTTTTTTTTTTCTTTAGTAGAGATGGGGTTTCTCCGTGTTGGTCAGGCTGGTCTCGAACTCCTGACTTCAGGTGATCTGCCCGCTTCAGCTTCCCAAAGTGCTAGGATTACAGACATGAGTCAGGTGGTTTTCTCAGGTGCCAGCAGTGACAGTGGTGGGCTAGGTAGACAGGCATGCCCTCAAGACCTTGGGTGGCATGTGTAGCCTCAGCAATTGCAGTAGTCATAGCAGATCAACTCTTGTGACCCCAGATGGCACGTGCAGACACCAACAGTTGTGACAACATGATGGACAGAGTAGTCCCTAGGCTTTCACCTGGTGCAACTATGTGGGTGCTGGTGGCAGCGGTGGTGGCAAGCTGGGAAGTCCTATCCTTAGGCTCTCAGGAGACACACAGGTATTTGATGGTGATAAGCACGGTGGATTAATCCCCAGGGTCTCAGACAATGTGCACAGGCACCACCAGGCTGGGTGGGCTCATACTCAGGTGACAAGAAGGCATGCACAGGTGCCAATGACAGACAGCAGTGTGGGTTGATCCCCAGGCCCCTGGACAACGAGCTTGGATAGTGGTAGTGACAGCAATGGGTGGGATGGGCCTGTGCTCTGGCCGTGGAATAGTGCCCAGGCAGGCGAGTCCCCAGGTCCCCTGAGGATGCCTGCAGGTGTGCAGTGGCCCTGCTCCTGGGAGTCAGGATTGCTGTCAGTGTCAGTGGCCCCGGGAAGGTGACTCTCCACCTGTGAAGAGTGCCTGCTTCAGCTCCCTTGGTTCTGGTGGCCACCTCCCTAGTGAATTGCACTGCCAGTTCCCTGGAGTATAGGACACTGTGTAGGCTAGAGTGATGGGGACCAGGCTACACTGGTGAGTTCAGCTGGTGTTGTGACTCTGCAGGCCTCTGGATGGACATGAGGGAATGTTACTGGGGGTCCAGAGATGTGGAGATGCAGGGGCTGTTGGGCCCCAGAGCATGATATAGTCTGTTGGGGGCTGGGCTCTCAAAATGACACTGTGCCACAGCTGCCTGTGTCTGGGGGCAGGTGCAAACGATCCAGTGCTAACTCCTTCTCTGGGACAATGCCCATCACGTGCACCCCAGGCAGCTCCCTAGAGTAGTCTCAGGGCCTGCGAGGGCCGAGAGACTCTCCCATGGCTAGGATTGCAGGTGTCCATGGTGGGAATATGGACCACTGGAGCTCTCTTTCTTACCTTTTCACCACACTGGAGAGTTTGTCCTGGCTTTAAGCTGATTCTGGCTGGGCTGCTGCTTCACTTTCCTTTCCTTCCATACCTCAGAGATTCCTTGTCACTGTGCTGCTGAATTCTAGTGCCGTCTTTCATGCCCCATTCAAGGTATGATTATCTACTTGCTGTTTTGGTCTTTCTTTGTGGAGGACATAGTGCTTGGTGCCTCTAGTCAGCCATCTTGAAGGCCACCTCCTAGCAATGAGAGGATAATATTCTCTGTGATGGCTTTAATATATGTGTCCAAACTGCTTCTTTTCTAGGGAAGCACTTACTCCAAGAAGTAAGTGTTATATTGTGCAAAAATGTTTTAAAGGGTCAGTTGGTGATGTAATTTCAAGAGTAGCACTGAGGAAAACTTGGCAGTTCCACAGGGCTGAGTTGGTTGGAATATATATCAGTCTCTGAGATTTTGAACCCAATGTTTTGAACTTTTTGAGATTTCAAGTAGCCCATGTATCGTAACTTAACATTCTTTCTTGGTCAAATCAGGCATAGTGAAAAATAAAATCCAGCTTATATACTTTTAAATATCTTGATTCTATACTCTTTCAGTGACCAAGGGGGAGGCCTCCACTACTTTACACAAAAACGAAAACTCTATGAATGAGAATCTCTTCACACAAAGCAACTAAAATTGTGTCTAGATGGAGCAAAATGGTGACAGGTGGGAAAAGCACTCGGTGGCTGTGGTAGGCAGAATAATGTCAGATAATACATCTGTGTTGCTTTAAGCCACTAAGCTTGTTGTAATTTGTGATAGCAGCCTTAGGAAGCCAATGCAGTGTTTTAAAAGATGGAAGAAAATGCTGAATGATTATGTCCAGTGAAAGTTGGGAACTAAAGGAATTCCCTGAATCTCGGCCAGGCATACATGTACAAACCCAGGGAACTGGCCTTTGAAAAGGGTGCAGAAGAAATTGCCTTTAATCTGAGTGCAACTCTTTTTTTTGTAATTTAGATTTCTGATGAAGTCTGGTTGATGTGGGAATACGTGATTGTGCAAGTTTCCCATGTGCTGCACTTTTATCTGGGAGAGACAAACCCCTGCAAGGTTGCATGGAATAGGACAGTGCATTTTCCCGGTAAAAAAGGGAAGTAGTCTTCCCAGACGCAGGATGAAGGGTTGCAGTGCTAGACGAAAGCAATGGGTATGGTGAAAATTCCCCGACCCTGCTGTAGGTCATTTTCGACTAAGAGCTCATCTAGATCGGATAGAAGGATACTGGAAACCAAACAGTAATCAAGTCACAACATGTAATATAAACTTCTTTCTTTCTTTTTTTTTTTTTTTGAGACAGAGTCTTGCTCTGTTGCCCAGGCTGGAGTGCAGTATTGTGATCACGGCTCACTGCAGCCTCCACCTTGTGGGTTCAAGCGATTCTCCTGCTTCAGCCTCCTGAGTAGCTGGGATTACAGGAGCCCGCCACGACGCCTGGCTAAATTTTTGTATTTTTAGAAGAGACAGGGTTTCACCATGTTGGCCAGAATGGTCTTGATCTCCTGACCTCATGATCCGCCCACCTTGGCCTCCCAAAGTGCTGGGATTACAGGTGTGAGTCACCGTGCCCAGCCGGTAATATAAACTTTTAAAAGAGGTTTTGTGCTTGTTGGTTTTGCTTTATTCTTTATTGAGGATTCAATAAAAATCCCTGTGAGAAAAAGGGAGAGAGGGAAAGGGAGACAGGGAGAGGGAGCGAGAAAAAGAACACAAAACATCCAGCAAACAACAGGCTTCAGTCCATTTTGGGTGTAGTGCTCTCAATTCATGGTTGATGCCCCAGAGGCAGGCAGCAGGGTCGGCTATTTAAACATCTCCCAACATGGATTTCTGTTTTGAGGCAAAAGTCCCGACAGGAGCCATTTGGACGTTCACAGATCTCCTTGAATTTGCCGCTGGCTGCACGCAGAAGAGCATTATTGTAACCATTCATCAGTCTTTCTTACTTTGTATTGAATTACTTGGACGTAGGGGGCAGTGCCTGAGGATAATCTTGTGTGGATTTTTTTTGTGTGTATGTGTGTTGTTATTTGATTTCTTAAACACTTAAAAATCTGCTGTCCTACAAAAATTTGGATTTTTTGGTGTTCTTGAAAAATCTGAGAATATTGGGTGCACCTACATGACAAAAGACGGGAGGTGAATAGCCTGCCCCCCTTTACAAGTTCTAGAGCATGCACATTTCAGTTTATTTATTCCTTATTATCTCCTAACACTGATGGGAGATATCAGCCTTTTAAAAAATATAATGTCTTATGCTATGGATTTTCCTGGAGTGAAAGAGAAGAAAATCTCTTTTGGCTGCTCCCTTTTTATTTCTACACACACACATACACATACTATATGATGGGTTACAATAGGTGTATCTTTCAAAAGTAGAACTGAAATATAGACCTAAAAGATCATATACTTTAAGGAAATTGTTAGAGAGGATATTTTTTTCTGTGGAAGGGAACAATATTCCTATGTGTTTAACACACAAATTTATATGTGCCAGTACTTGTTACACCCTGTGACTTCACTCACTTCTTATAGCTCTGGCACTGGTCTTTGAGGTTGCAATTTTTCTCTAGAAACCATTGCACATATGAGGGGTGAAACATTCAAGGTCTTCTTAGAGGCTCAAAAACTATACTTGTTGAAAACATTTAATAGTATTTCCTTTATGTCCCAAGATATCACTGCCCTGGGGATAGGCCACCCACATTGAGATGTTTAGTTTGAAAAGTGTTTTAATTCTGAGCAGTCTTTGTATGTAACACAGAGCACTTCTCCATGACAACTTCTTGACAATAAGAGAAGTATAAAAACCAGCACTTTTTTTTTTCTATTCTGGAACACAAAAGCCAATTCTAGAATAGCTTTCAATCAGTACAGCGATTTTAATATACATTCAGTAAATGCCTATTGAGTTACACTGAAATCCAAATGCATTAGATTCAATTTAACTTTTCAATGGTCACAAAGCAATTAGTGGATTGATGTGAAGACCAAATACATGCAATATTGTATTTCTATCTATAAGGTAAATTGCAAAATAATTAAACGTGATGCTTTTTTAAAGACAATGATAATTCTAAGTGTTGAGCACTTGGTAGAAACAAGCTGAAATCTGAGTTTTTGGATCCCTGAACTTTCCGTCTTTTCCTTTCATCTGTAACTAGTCAACTACTATGTATGTAGAGCCCATTGGCCTTGGGCTAAAATTGGCGCTTTGCAGCTGGAAGAGTCATGAGAGATTAGTATAGTGTAGAGGATGAACCACTGACCTGTCTTCTGATATGTGATAAATCACTCTTGAACATTCCTCTGTTGTAGTACTTCCAGAATCTGATTCAAGTCTTGGCTTATAATAGGTATTCAGTAAATGATTGTGGAATAATTGATTAAAATACAGCTAGGTTCTATCTTGTAACATGTTTGTGTGGAAATTTGTTGTTACACTTAGTTCACAGGTCTTTGAATCATGTGTACTATTTTACTATACTGGACTCTATTGAGCATTTTATTTTCAAAAAACTTAATACAGAACTACCATTTGACCCAGTAATCTCATTACTGGGTATATACCCAAAGGAAAATAAATTAGTCTTGTAAAAAGACGTAAATTTGTATGTTCATCACAGCAGTATTCCCAATAGCAAATGTATGGAATCAAACTAGGTGTTCATCAACAGTGGATTGAATAAAGAAAATGTAGTATATATATATCATGGAATACTATGCAGCCATAAAAAGAACAAAATTGTGTCCTGTGCAGCAACATGGATGCAGCTGGAGGCCTTTATTCTAAGCAAATTAGCTCAGGAACAACAACCCAAATACCACACATTCTTAGTGATAAGTGGGAGCTCAGCAATGAGTGCACATGGACATAAAAATGGGAACAACAGAGATTGGGTCCTACCAGGAGCGGAGGGAGAGGGAGTAAGGTCTGAAAAGCTACCCTTTGGGTACACCCTACCTGGGTGACAGAGTTATTCATACCCCAAACCTCAATATCACACAGTATACCCATGTAACAAATCTGCACACGCACTCCCTGAATCTAAAATAAAAGTTGAAATTATTTTAAAATGTTCAAATTACAAAGGACTTTGTAAAATTATGATGTACCATTGTTCATTTGCAAGAATTCAGGTAACATTAGGGATTTAAAAATTATTTTGTTTTTATTTGTTCTTTGCTTATAAACCTTGTGTATTGCATATTGTGGACACAATGTCTTTTCCAGCTATTTGCTTTAGGAACAAAAGTTAGAGTTACAATGAACATCAAAGCCTGTCTTGTCTAGTCCCTTACCTTAAAGATGAGGAAATGAGCTGAGGGAAAGGAAGAAACTTGCCCAAGATCACCCAATGATCGAGTGACGAAGGTGATAGGGACAGCACTAAGGCTTGGTATTCTGAGCCTCATTCTGTTTTCCACTCTTGCCCCCTCTCTGTGTCCTCCTTTCCTCTCTAGCCTTCTATAAAAAGTTTGCAGTTCTGCTGCAAAGTCTACTTAAGGACATCCAGAGGAGACACCACCTTTCATCAGACTGCGTTCTTTAGTACCGTCCTGCGTGTTCCTCCCCAGTCTTGTTGTATCCCATTTTTGACTGTAAGTAGTGCTTCTGCCTGTGCCGTTCTATCCAATTAGTCTCTTCTATTTCGATTGAGTGACAGTGAAAACAAACAAACAAAAATTTGTTTATCCAAATTTGGAACTTTTAAACCTTGATTAAAAGCATTGATTTTCTGGGGCTATAGAAGTAAGACACATATTTTAAAATATTTTTAACTGATTAAAAAAAATCAAACCCACGTATTTAACCAGGGTGACTGTTTAACAAGTACCAGTCAGATAGGTCTTCAGTAATGCCACAAGGATAACAATCTCATAAGTCAGTCCCCGATGTCGTGTGCTACTGAGCTCATATAATTGGATATAATTGGAGCTCACCTATTATCAGGCTTTAGAAAGTCTCACAAAGAAACAGCACAACAGAACCCTAAGGTGGGATGTACAGGGAAAGCCAGGATATTAAAACAAAGCATTGACTCTGACATTTACCCCACTGTTGGGAAAAACCTTCAGTTTCCAGGGCCTTAATTTTTTCCTCTATAAAACAGCAAAAATAGAAGCAATAAGTTGCTTATTCATCCTTGAATACACATGTTCAGGACTTTCCAGAAAATTTTCGGATCTACTTTGGTTGTCTAGTAACCTCCTTGGGCAAATCCAAGAAGCCCTATACACACTTCTCCAAAGCATGTCTGTGCAAGGGGCCTTATACCTGCGATTAATGTTTGCTTGCTGAATGCAGTAGGCTATGCTCTGGTGTGGGGTCATCCCTGGTCCCTGTGTTTAAGTTCTACATTACAAGACTAGATGCTGAGAAGGAAGAGGGAAAGCTAGGGATTGAGATGGAGCCTTAAGAGGAAAAGTCAAGCCCCAGGGACCAACAGTACTGGGGAACAATAAGTTAAAGATTTCTTCGACTATAGTAATATTTTCAAAGAGACTTCTTCCACCAATCCCTTCTGTCTGAGCCTACCACAGCTTTGGAATAGCTCTTATGCCAGTGTCTTAGGATAAATAACTTCTGCTGAAAGAAACTGGAGGAGTTTTGGAGACTAAGATTTAGTAGAATAATGCCTGATTTTTAATTTCTGAGGTCTAGTAACTGCTAGTAAACTTGCCTAATTTAGAGATGGAATAAGAGGGTTTCAAAGACTTGAAACACGATTGACTTCATCTAAGTGAGTTGCTATGGAGAATTAATGAATTAGGTGGCTGCAGGCTCCTCAGCCAATGTGTCTTCCAGATTTCCTATGAGATCCCCTATCTGGTCATAGATGATGGTGATTTCTCTTTGAGTACTGAATCCCCATAAGGTGTTAGGCACTCCATTCTTACCAAGTTTATTTTGTTACCTGGTAGAACTTGGCTCATAAAGAAGAAAATGGTGGAGAGGAGGACAGGAATCCTCATGGCTGAAGAAAGAAGAAAGTTTGGCTTCATTTCCAGGAGGCAGAGAAAACTTCCGTCTGTGGTTCTCTAGCACCAGTGGAATGTCTCTGTTTGGATAATAAGAGCCTTTCTGTACCTCATTAGGGATATTCATAGATTGAGGTGTTCTATGCCTGCAAAACTGCTTCTATGGGAGGACTGAGAGTCCTTTTTTTATTGGACAGCCAGTTCATTAGAATGATGTGGGTGCACAGTTTTGGCCAGAAAACCTTGTTAAATGGGAACATAAGCTACAAACATTTTGGCAAAAGATGAAAGTTTATGAACAAACAACCATTTATATTGTTACAATAAATTAGACTGTGTTAAAAAACCAGTTGCTTTCGTCAATTTTGTTAGTGAACACTTCCCAGACTTTACTAGCCCTGCGAAGAATTAATCACCCCACTTGCTCCTGGTCTGAAACCCCTAAGTGCTTTGTTGATGTTACAGTGCTTACTGCCTTATATGTTAGATTAGTGAATGTATATTTGCCTCTTCCACTACTGTATGAGCTTCTTGCTTGCTAGGACAAGGCTATATTCCTCAGAGCAGAGGAGGGAGTTGAATCATGTGGCCATTTATTCTGAAATCCTCTTCACCAAGTGGAACAAAACAGAACAGCGAAAGACCACTGCACATGGAAGCAGGAGGTCTGGATTTGGGTTCTAGATCTCTAGATCTATTACTAACTGGAGGTATGGATATAGTCAGGAAAATTGTCTTCCTTAGGTGCTTCCTTAATACCACCTATAAAGGTTGAGATCCGTTGGATCTAGATCAAGGGATTCTCAATCATTACTATGCATAAAATCACCTGGGAGAGTTGCTTTGCAATACAGATGCTTAGTTCCATCTCATGATGTTTTTACTATTTTTTAAAATTGATCTAGTATTTTTCATTAAATAATGTAAACTTTCTTAGTCTACATCTAATAAAACTCCCATCGGCATACAAATACATTGAATGATATTAGCAGCAGAATCTTTAAATAAAGTAAACACATACAACTATTAAACCACTTTTTTCATTACTTATTATTTCATGCTGTTTGTCATCATTGTCATCATAATCAGCATCATCCTACATTGCTGAACACCCATTATGAACCATATGGCATAAACATTTTTCCTACTCGTAAGGAGCATATATTCTCTATACGCATATGAAATTAATGTCTGAACAAAGTGGCTTAAACAAGGCAGAAGTTTATTTCTTTCTCACTTAAATCTATAGTTACATGTATCATGGCTGGTACAGATGCTTGCCAAATTCATTAGGGACGCAGGCCCCTTCCAGCTGTCTGCTCTGCTGTGCTTTAGAAGAGGCTCCAGTTTGGCTGCTAAATGCCCAGCTATCATTTTTTAATTCCAGGCAGCAGGAAAGAAAATAGCCAAGAGAGAAAAACAAGGGAACATATACCCCTCCTTTTAAATTTTTTAACCAATCCCCTCTTTTTTTTTTTTTTAACCCAATTTGTTGAGCTATGATTACTTTTAAAAAGCTGTCCATGTTTGCGGTATGCATCTCAGTGAGTCTGGGGTAAGTATACATCATGAACACCACTACCCTTAAGATTAGAAACATATCCTTCACCTCCCAAAGTCCCCCCCATTATCATTATTATTATTACTGGTAAGAAATTTTGGTAAGAACACAAAACCACCCTTTTAGCGAATTTTCAGTATGCAGTACAGTATTCTTAGCTATAAGCACTATGCTGTATGTGAGACCTCCAGAACTGACTTATATGGTGTATCTGAAACTTTGTGCTCTAACCACATCTACCCATTTCCCCTGCACCACGGCCCCTGGCAACCACCATTCTACTCTCTGCTTTTGTGAGTTTGTCTATTTTAGATTTCAAATGCAAGTGAAATCATATAGTAATTGTCATTCTGTGGCTGGCCTATTTCATATAACGTAATGCCCTCGAAGTCCACCCATGTTGTCACAAATGACATGATTTCATTATTATGTAACACTGAATAATATTCCAGTGCATATATGTATTACCCATTTATCCTGATACTCTCCCTCCACCTGCCTCCCAACAGGCCCCAGTGTGTGTTGTTCCCCTCTCAGTATCCATGTGTTCTCATTGTTCTGCTTCCACTTGTAAGTGAGAACATGCAGTGTTTGGTTTTCTGTTCCTGGGTTAGTTTGCTGAGGATAATGGCTTCCAGCTCCATCTATGTCCCTGCAAAGGACATGATCTCATTCCCTTTTATGACTGCATAGTATTTCATGGTGTGTATGTACCACATTTTCTTTATCCAGTCTATCATTGATGGACATTTGGGTTGATTCCATGTCTTTGCTATTGTGACTAGTGCTGCAGTGAACGTGTGTGTGCATGTATCTTTATAACAGAATGATTTATATTCCTTTGGGTATATACACAGTAATGAGCTTGCTGGGTCAAGTGATATTTCTGGTTCTAGGTCTTTGAGGAATCACCATACTGTCTTCCACAGTGGTTGAACTAATTTACATTCCACCAACAGTGTAAAAGTGTTCCTATATCTCAACAGCCTCATCAGCAGGTAGTTTTATTTAAAATTTGTTTGAGAAACCTTCATACTATTATCCGAAATGGCCATAGTAGTTTGTATTTCCACCACGAATATACAAGGGTTATCTTTTATCCACATCCTCACTAATACTTGCTATTCATCTTTTCGATAACAGCTATTCTAAGAGGTGTCAGGTGACATTTCATGGTGGTTTTTATTTGCATCCCCCTGACAATTAGAGATGGTAAGATTTTTGTCATATATTTGTTGGCCATTGTATCTCTTCTTCTAGGAAATGTCTATTCAGATCTTCACCTATTTAAAAAAAAATTTCAACTTTTATTTTAGATTCAGTGAATGCATGTGCAGGGTTTTACACTGGCACATTGTGTGATGCTGAGGCTTGGAGTATGAATGATCTTGTAA